GTATTCTTTCTGCTCTGGGTGCTTGTGAGCTAAATTAGGATGGGGTTACATTTTGTGTGCACTTTCAAGTTTGTTGGACGCAATTTTGATGCATGTAATGTTTAAATTACTTCACTGGCATGGAGCTTATGTAAGATTTAATGGAGTCAACGGCGGCCGGATGTCAAGGGCTCGAAAGATTTTGAGCTATTACTCATGATACTCGTTTAAGTTGTGCACATGGCGCCAAAGAGATAGTCTAGACGGACCAGTAGACGAACTCTGCCCGAACTAATATCCAGTCAAGCAATATGTGGGCCGTCAGCAGTGGGTAGCATGAGGAGTTCAGGCCACAAAACGGAATGAGAATGAGTCGCTGTGACCTGGCGAGGCTGCATGAGTCGAACAAAAGCTGGATAATGGCGCCACTAAAAATATGTCATCAGCTTAACTCGTCCCAAACAATTTGACAGCCGCATATCCTCGACTAGAAATTGTACTAAAGGGGTCTGCTGAAATTGGGCAGACCACAACCGAACCCCTGAGTCTGCGGCTGCAGCTGTTCCGGGGTGCGAACCGCGGAATAATTTGGGGCATCATGTCCGCACATCTGCTGCCAGGACTAGTGAGCCGCACGCCTAGAGGCTTGGATCACGAAATTGTCTACTGCTGCTCTTCAAGAATTTACGCTTTCGAGCGATGCTTGCCCCAAAAAAGCTCGCTGTTGGCGTCTGTTTACGCTCGTATCGACTGACTCGCCATACCGGCTTTGGACTGGCATTGCGCCTACGTGGTTGTTTATTTTCGCTTCGCTGACCTCAGCGGTCGGTACATATACCGGGCACTTCTCCCCTCCGCTTGCTCGCGATGTGCTGTTCTCGACGATCTGTATCTGTATGATCAACAGTCATGAGATTCTCCATTGTTCTTCTGTTTGCGCTTATCTCATCCACGCACGCGCTGCTCTTCCCCAAGGTCAGCATCTACTGCATCCAAAACAGCTTTTTAAGCACCTGTCCGCACGGCCAGTACTGCAATAGCTTCAATCGGTGCGTACCATATTCTACGCATATTTCTTTATAAGTCTGTGCTAATACCTGGTGTAGATGCGTGCCCAAGCGTGGTGGCGGCCACCAACATAAACGTGACGATATCCAGTACTCGATCGACGGTCAGTGCGGTCCAAATAACAATAACCTCCTCTGCGACCCCAACTCGACGGTCTACACCGGCACATGCTGCTCTGATATGGGCTGGTGCGGTAACACCTATTTACACTGTGGCACCGGCTGTGTATCAGGCTGCATGAAAAACTATACTACTCCTGAGCCTGGCGCTGTCTCGATTGATGGCAGATGCGGTGCTGACTTCTACGATACCGTCTGTCCGTCAGGCCAGTGTTGCTCCCAGTACAGCTATTGCGGCACTGGTGAGGATTATTGTGGCACGTCTTCCTCTAGTGGGTCACTCCTGTTGTCGATCTCTACAAGTGATGGATGTAGCATAGGTAGAATATTACAATACTTCTGTTCCGCACTTCTTGTTGATGCGTCATAATTGTTTTAGGTGTAATCACGCGTACACTTATCAGCATCCCCTCCACCACCGCGGCTCATTCGTCCACCTTTCTGACTAGTACCCTCTCTTCCGGCTCTTCTGAATCGTCCAGCAGGTCGACCCGCAGGTCGAGCTCTTCAGCCAACGTGGTTGCTTCATCCAGCACGGTCGGGCATTCCAGAGAGACAACTTCCTTGAACACCGTAGGTTCTTCTAGTGTTGCGGAGCTGCTCAGCAGTACCGAGCTGTCGTATTCAGCTATGAGTTCGTCTGCTTCAACGTCGTCGTCGTCGTCGTCGTCGTCGTCGTCGTCGTCGTCGTCGTCGTCGTCGTCGTCGTCGTTGTCATCGTCGTCCTTCGATTCATCATCATTTGTGCACTCTTTCACCACCGGCGAACCTGTCATAGGCAAACCCACAATAAGCTCTGTAGCTCCATCTGCCCAATCCACTCTACCTGTCACTACTGATGGTACCTGTGGTGTTACCAGCCGGGGCACTGTCTGCGGTAACTGGATCTACGGCAATTGCTGCTCTCAGTACGGTTATTGTGGCAACACTACCGCTCACTGTGGCGTGGGCTGCCAGTCTGGTAATTGTACTGGAGATATCAATCTTGCTCCCGGAGAGGCCGCTGCTCCGGTCGCTACAGGTGATGATGCTGGCAAATTTGAGATTGTCGGTCAGTCAGGTGTTCCAGCTATGCATGCTGGTTTACTTCCCAATGGCAAGGTTGTTTTCTTGGACAAGGTTGAGAACTACACCCAGATCAAGCTCGGCACTGGCTATTACGCTTACTCATCGGAGTACGATATTGACACCAACACGTACGTGCCTCTCGCCTACAAGTATGTTCGTCCATATTATGGTTATCATATCAGGCTGCTGATGTTACTAGGACGAATGCATTTTGCTCTGGAGGCGCCTATCTCGCAAATGGTGATCTCATTTCAGTGGGTGGTAACGCTGATCTTTCGTGGTACGCTATTTAGCTTAGCTGGGCCTCGTATCTGAACAATTACTGACGATGATAGGCTCGATCCGACTGTTGGCAATGGCTTCACAGGCATTCGATATCTCAAGCGTTTGCTATCAAGCTCTGAATACGACGGTCAGGCGTGGAGTGAGCCTGGAAACAAGCTTGATTCCGCGAGGTGGTATGCTACTGCACAAAATCTTGCCAATGGTGAAATTTTCGTTGCCAGTGGCAGTTTGAACGGTCTCGATCCTACCGTGCCCGGTAACAATAATCCCACTTGGGAACTTCTCGACAAGACCGGAAAGTCGTATACCGGCAGCATACCTATGGACTTTTTGGCACATAACCAGCCATACTATATGTATCCGTTTGTCAATCTGCTCCGAGATGGTGAGCTCTTTATCTTTGTTTCTAAGTCGGGTATTATCTTTGACGTCAACACCAACACTACGCTCAAGGCTTTGCCAGATCTCCCAGGTGACTATCGTACTTATCCCAATACTGGTGGCTCGATTATGTTTCCCCTCAGTTCTAACGATGATTACTCTGCCGAGATCATGATTTGCGGTGGTGGGGCTTACCAGGATATTACGTCACCTACTGAGGCCAGCTGCGGCCGAATTCGCCCCGAGGATGATGGTCCAACGTGGGAGATGGAGGGCATGCCAAAATCTCGCGGTATGATCGAGGGTACCCTCCTTCCCGATGGTACCTCCATTTGGATGAACGGGGGCCACTATGGGTCTCAGGGATTCAACCTTTCAACTGATCCAGTGTACTACCCTGTTCTGTATGATCCAAGTGTTGCCTCTGGATCTCGGTTTACTGTTCTCACTAGCTCGTCTATTGCTCGTCTGTATCATTCCATTGCTCTGCTCATTCCTGATGGTAGAATTATGGTCGCCGGATCCAATCCAGTCCAGATGCCTATCATGGAACCGTCAGAATACACTCCCTACGTCACCGAATTCCGTGTCGAAATTTTCACTCCGCCATACCTTATGGGTGACAAGGCCTTTAGGCGGCCTCGTAACGTCACGCTGTCAAGCACCTCTTTGAGAAACGGCGACTCCTTCTCGCTCAAGTTCACTGATGGCCAGGCTAATACTAGTGACCTCAAAGTTGTTCTGTACCATGGCGGCTTTGTTACACACTCGACACATATGGGCCACCGCATGATCTACCTTGACTACACTGGTTTCGAATCCGCTAAGTCCGCAAACGCGACGCAATCGTTGACGGTCAGCATGCCTAGTACCAAATACGGAAGTGTCACCCCACCGTCGCCGTATTTGGTATTCGTTGTCGCGGATGGCATTCCGAGTGTTGCTGTTACTGTCATGGTAAACGAGGATGCGTCGTTCTAAATTGCAAGATTGGAGATTTGTGTTTGTATTATATGACGTTTTGTAATTTTAATCTGAAAATTGGTGATGGGGTGTGGACGATGTATTATCTCCCTAGGTGACAAAATTTCTCTATATGTGTATTATAATTTGGCAATATTTCGCTGTTTTTTTATTTACTTAATTGATTATTTAGTTCTCGTGGAGATATGTAGGATCAGGTAACTGAGCCAGGGAAATATAATTAATTCTTAGAGAACGCTGGAGGCGATTGTATAAGCTACGTGAATAGTCATCGATCCCGAGGGGGAAATATGCTTCTAGCTATGAAAGTTGCCCAGTAAGCAAAAAAGGCGAGTACGACTAGAATAATCGTACCCAGCACTAGACTTACTGGCCAGAAAGACTGTGCTTTCCAACTGGAGATCCGAGCAATTCTCCAGCCGAACAAACGACCGACTATCGACAAAAGATCTCATTGGCACCAGGACGGAACTAGAAGAAATCGAATGTATATAATGATTAATACAAAACCTTCTGACTGATTGACTAGGGCGGTACAGACACCTCCGTATATAGTCTGGACATATCTAATATTGCGTGTCTGCGTGTCATATATCGTCAAGATTGATATATCTTATGTCAATTCCCACAATCTGTCGCTCGTGATCCGATATATCACTTTCCAGCATAACTGACGAGGATTACGCCGTTAGTTTCGGATGAAAGTTTAAACAAAATAAATATACAATATACAACTTGCATGTCGTTTTAGCAGCGCATTAAAGACACAGCACTTCTGTACAAATCGGCAGAAAAGAACTGTATGATTCGTATAACAGCATCTTTAAGCCTATATAAATATTGGCCACATTAGTCACTAGAGCATCAAATGTCCAATTTCTTTCCATTAAATTCTAGATAATTAAGCTACCTGGTCTGTTGGGAACATAAGAAATTCAGTAGTCAATTTTATTTCAGCTCAGATCTCATGGATCACCATAATGAATTATATAAAAAATAAATTTTCATATAACTTAATTATAAATGAACTAGCCTTTTTGAACAAAATGGATTGAGATGCAAAATGATTATAAATAAATGACTGGGCATGAACCTATCAGCACTCATCAGAGTCAAGGCACTATGGCCGAGTGGTTAAGGCGAAAGACTCGAATTCACTAATAGTTCGGCATCTTTTCTCGTTTCGAGGCGCAGGTTCGAGTCCTGCTGGTGTCGATTCATTTTTTGAATTCCCTTTTTTGACTACGCCAGGTTAGGGTTACTGTGGGATTCGTTTAGGCTGCGTTCGAGACTTCGAGGGCGTCTGGATTATCATCGTTGAACATTGATCTGATCGTGGTGTATTTTTACTGCGATGGAGAGTTTATGGGTATGATATTATTTTGACTGTTGCTGTAAGTTACTCTAACGTATGCGTGCGAAATAGAGACCAGTGCTCGTGCCAATCCGGCTACTGGCCACGAAGCCGATGCTGCGGACATATTTGCGAGTTATTCTAGGAACAATTGCTGCGAGCACACTGTTTGTGGTGGCCGTGCTAGCATATATCGCGTTCTATCAGACGTATATTCCATATGATGAGGTGCGAATGCCGATATACTTTGATTACTCGTGTGTTGTCCACTTCTGTCTGTGATTTCGCAACAAACGAGCTTACGTTAAACAGAACCGGCGACAGTCCCTCTACATTCACCGCGCTTCCTGATCCGCTTGTGCTGTTCCCGCACCAAGCGTACAGTGTCGTCATACAACTGACGGTGCCCCGGACGCCTCACAATACGAAACTTGGCAACTTCATGCTTTCGGTACGTCTGTACGAAGCAGATCCTCTGGCGGCAATTTCTCGGTCCACAGACATCCCGGTCGACAGACTCAGCACTACGATCTCGCGCCACAGTCTATCATTGCTATCGTCCACTTCTGAAAAGGTTGCGGGTGTGCTACATGACATCACACTACTTGAGGCTCGGCGGCCAGGTATCTTGAAATACAAATCGGACCTCCTGGATGCTCTCGATACACTCCTTTTCTTTCCGGCGTACGCAAGTGGGTGGAAACAGCAATCTGACTTCTTGGAAGTCAGCATGATAAACGACTGGATCCTGACTAATAACTCTAAAATACCTCGATTCGCCGCCGTGCAGTTAGACCGCGATGTACAGGTCTACGACGCATGTGTCATTTTCGAGGTGGAATGGGCCGGTGTGCGGTGGTTTATGCGGAAATGGTATATTACCAGTTTTGTGGTTGGTGTTGGTGTGTTTTGGAGTACGGAGTTGGTTGCTGCTGGAATCACTTGGGCTATGTTTGGGCTGCTTTTCGGCGGTGGACAGGAGGAGGGTGGAAATAGAATAGACGAGTTGAGGCGGATGGCGAGGGAGATCAAAGACCCTAGATTTGAGCAATTGAACGATAAAGAGAAGGTCAAGGCTGAAGTCATCGATCAGTCGGAGGACGTGACTGAGGAGACTGATGAGACTGATGAGAGCGAGTCTGTGCCGACGGAGGAAGATACTCCATCAGTAGAGGAGTCTGAAGAAGATCTGATTAAAAAGGAAGAGTCAGAGAACCTAGCATCACCTGTGAGCCCGCTTCTGCATCGTGCACCTCTATTTTCGACACATGGAACTGACACGCCGGCAACTGACCTCCAATCTGAGATCTCGATTGAAGCTGTTAGTGTCTCGTCCTCCAAACCGAAACGCAGCGATTCTTCAGCATCTGCGAAATATGTGGAAGACGACGGCAGTGAGCACCTTGAGCCGGAAGCAGGTGTCGGTACTGGCGTTAATGTACACATCAGAAGGTCGAGTAACGAGGAAGCCGAGACACGACGTCGTGTTGCAAAGCAAGAAAATCTCTATGAGTGATGTGATACTGTGCATTATAATTTGGTTATTTTAATGGTCATATTTTAGGACGGCGTTGGAACTTTTTTTTGGTGTTTGAAAGGACCTTGTGCAATCATATGTCGCGCACGATCTGTAGCAAGCCACTCCATGACCGAGACCTGTGTAGTGTAATACCGATATTAGGAAGCTATTGCGAAAGCAGGAGCAAAAATTTTAGAATGAATTGCAGCACCTACGATTCCAGCATGGTCTCCCACTGCAGTACTAAGTAGGCCCAAAGAAGCTTAACTGGTGTTGATCGAACGGGGAACTGTGCTCTCTTCTTGGTATGGCCGCAACTGGCGTGAATTATTCTGCTGTCGGTGACTTTCCCGCAAAAACAAGGTTTACAGCCCATAATGTATATAGTTACTAATACATCGGCTTTCTCAATCAAAAAACTACGTCCTTACTCCGGACGTGGATGGTCCTCTCTGCTGGCGGGCTGGCGGATTGGTGTCCTGGCTTAAGTGCCCTCGCCCGCCGTCACTGAGTTTTTCTTTCCTTTTCCGATTGTGTTTGTGGTTCCGACACCAGTAAGCGCTAGGGGTTGATACGATTTGCGAGCAATCGTAACTCGCAATCGTATAGTCTAGTACGATTACAATATGATCGGTTGCAAAAGTTTACGATTAATATACGAGCAATGACGTTGGCTGCTCGTAAAAGATTGTATAGTTACTAGTCACGTGAAGTCGTCAAACTGCTTTAATTGGAAAACTTCGAGCATTAATAGGGTGAAGATACCAACAGCATAACTACATATCCGCTTCTTTCAAGTATTGATCTGCAAGCAAAGTGAGTATTCTCATTGTTCTTGACTCCATTGAGTGTCTTCTCAAGCCTAGCAAGTCTCTCCGCTGAATAACCTCTCAACCGCTCCCTCAGAGCCGTGATTGCAAGATAGTCCCTGGTTGCAGCTGCCATTTGCGGGTACTCTTCTTTATGAGCTCTCCACCACCATAACAGGAGCCACCCCTTCTCAGTACTAGCCACAGCCACTGTCTCTTCCGCAAATTACTTGCCGATATCTGATTTGCAAAGCTCTTCGAGGCTGTAGCTTCAAAAGCATACGAGACTCCAGAGTGGACTTCTCGACTCTTTCAAGTGGTTCAGGGCTCTCTGCCACCACAAGTGGATTCGAAAGCCCACGTGTAGGTTGAGAAGTTGCGTGGTCTGTCAGGACTGGCGACGAGATGTCAAGCCCTTGAGCTTTCTCAGTCAATGTTCTAGACAATGGTTGAGAGGAGATCTGGCTAATACTATCCTCTGGTACTAGTTCAAGAGAGCTCGCAGTTTTGACTGTGAGCCACTGGCGAGCGAAACATTCTGCACCGGCTCCTAAGCATCAGGATAATCGTCGACCACCCTGTTGCTTCGCTCGTTTTGATCACTTTTCATCTAGGAAGTTTATTGATCATTACCAATAAAGCACAAATGCAAATCCTCGAATTCAGTCAACATATCGTAATAATTGCAGTCTTCGGCCTTTTCAACGGATTCCGACAGCATGCCCTTAATAAGGCATCAAAGGTCTCGTTGACCTCGCCCTAGTCCATTTGCATACGCATTGGCAATATCCACATTCGGCTGCTAAGACTCCCACCTTCGCCTATTCCTCAAATGTGCCTTCAACGAATTCCAATACAGTCGTAGAAGTAGAGCTGGTTCATCGACTGGGAACCGGATGGGCGAATCTGAGCCCAGCCAGTCAATTTGCGTATCTAATGTCTGCGCTAACATATTCCACTCCTCGTAAGAGTACTTTTTATTTCGATTAACATGCAGATCTATAAGGACCCCTTGTATCGCATTAATTAACATCAGCTCTCTGTCAAGTTCCTTATTGTCGCTGTCAATGTCATCGTTCGTGTTCAAAGTCCGCGTCATGCCACTCAAGTTGGACGGTGGCTGGTATCGTCCTCGTGATTCGAAATCACTCGTCATCTTGCGTAGAACTACTCGAGACAAATCTGAAGTCGACGCCGATGAAATGTTTTTCAGCGTTAGATCGCCAAGCTTAGTCGTCACGTACACGGCGGACGCGATGATAGTGTCGCACATACTGGAGATCAGAATAGTCATAAGCGGCACGGCAATCAGCGACCACAGCACGAAAAATGACTTCGTCCCAGGCTTGGTCGGCACAAAGTCGCCATATCCAACCGTCAGGAGAGCTAAGCTGCAGAAATAAATCCCGTTGAAGTATGTCCAGCCTTCTAACCTAGAAAAGACGAGCGCGCCCATCAGCCAGAAAATGGAGAAGAGGACGACGCTGACGGCAAGCACGGTCCACATATCCCGCTTTTTGGAAGAGTGGTGAATTTTCCGCATTAGATTGAAAGATTCCTCGTTGGTCCGGTCAGGTTTTTCAGAGTCCTGACGTTTTAAATTACGGACTCGCAGCTGATCTACTCGACTGAGTAATTGCATTTCATGAGACGAAGAGATGACAAGCGAGCGGAAATTGGCGACCACGAGACCCAGGATGAGGATGCCGACGAGAGCGTATGGAAGGACAATTGCACGGCTGAGATCGCGCGTGGGGTGAAGATCGCCGAGACCAATTGTAAGAATAGTTACGTCACAGTAGTATATGGCATCTCCGTAAGTGTATGCTTGGATACGAGCAAACACACCTCCTCCTCTGATCAGACGTTAACCGCTGTATGACATTCACGACTAACGAACTTACCCAGCAAGCCATACTGTGATACATAAGATTTGAAGCATCAAACTTCTCTGCGACGATGTGAGTATAAAACTCGCGGGATAATACCCCCTGAGATGCCCAATCTCATTCAATGTCAACACGAGGCCACATAGAAAATAAAGCACAACCGTAATGACTCTAGAAGATTTTTAGGTCGAGAAATCGATCGAAAGGAGGTAAAACATACGCGCTCCAATAGCCTTGTGAGAACTCAACATCAAGTCCGTGTTCGATCATTGAAAGATATGCGCGATATTTGGCGCCGATTATAGCCAGCAAAAGTATGCTTGCAAAATAAAACGAACCGATAGATATTGCCTGTGATAGGTTGTACCTCACTCTTCCGGTGAAATTTGCAAGTAGAGACGCATTTGCAAGGACTCCAAATACCAAGGACACGGCATTCAACGCAAGAGTCCACACATTGTCTGGATGGAAATGGTCGAATACGCCGTTGTTCAGCTCAGCTATCCACGGTTCGGTCAACGCGACAATCGAAAATAAATTTGACACCGGTCCAAGTGCACCCGCCATCAGAGGAAAGCTCGAGGCCATTGTGGTCCACCTCAGGTGGAGGAATTCGAAGACGTCTTCTTCGGCTGCATCTTGAG